TGGTGTTGCTTTCTCTTGATACAGGACGTGAAATGGTTCCAATAATTTTAACCTAGCATGCAGATTTACACCAGCTGAAAACCTGGCTCCAAACAGACTGCAAGGGAATTTCCTTGACTTTTCTCCCCCTTCCCTTTAGAAATAAATTACTACTGCATGTTTTCCATTTTCCTATAAGCTTTCTATCCAGTGACCCAAACACTCCAAAATAAACACGTACATTTCCTTCCTTGGTACTCTATGTCAGGATCTATTTAACTGCCTCTGCAAGAGCAAGTGATCCTAAAAATCACACAGTCGTGATTAAACATAAGTTTTCTTTATTTTTAGAGCCATCTCTGAGTATATGTGCTATCCTTCAGCACGTGTTCACATTCTTGTGGTGGTTATAGGTGCCTTTCCTAGGCACACTGCTGTGCCTAGGTACACTAGGTTTCCTAGGTACACTGCTTTTGGGCTCCACTAACTGTCATCAGACAAATTTTGCTTATTCCAGTTCAAGCCTGGAGTAAATGTAGCTGTTCCCAACCAGTTCTGAGTCTATGAGCTGAGAAATGTACAGTGGAATCTCCTGAAATGAAATGGAGTGAACACTCAGTTACAGTACAGCAAAGCAGGACCTGTGATCTTCAGGACGGTGACCTTTCCTGGAAACACAGTCCTAGCACTGGAGTGTGGGCATGTAGATACCCAAGCTGCTGCAGATACATATTACTTGTCCCTGTGTTTATTTATGCAATATTGCTTGTATTGTAATAACAACCAAAGGCCTACACTGGGATCGAAGAACTGTTTTGCAGGTGTCTGTGCAATACATATACATAATTTATTCGAGCTGGCTGCGGTGCTGAGGAAGAGCTTGCAGTGACAGGGCACCTGGCTGTCACCCCTCTCACACCATATCCCTGTCAGGACAGCAGTGAATGAAAATCACTGACATGTCATGAAGCAACACACACATGTTTCTTCATCAAAGGGGCAGCACCGGCTCTTCCCAGGGAGAGGCTGTGTAAGACAAGGCCAGCACGCTCCTTGCCATCTGCATTTGGGATGTCCCAGCGGGAGCTGACCCAGCCCAGTGCTGACCCAGCTTCAGCTGGCAAGCAGCTGTAACCAGACAGCAGCCCTTACTGAGAATCAGGGATTTGCCAGCCAGAACCGTCTGTGAGGAACTACTGATTTCAAGTGAAGCTTTCTGACCTTCTGTCCCTTGCCTGTCTGTCATCTTGGACTCCAAACCTGCCTGGGTGCCCTGGCTTTTCAGGCTCTGAGCTCTTCTGCTGCCTGAGAGGTGTGTGGAGCAGTGAGATCTTCCATCCCATCCCAGAACTGCACACACAGACCATAGGGGCCCGCAGGACCTCCAGCTGTGTGCAAGTTTTCTGGCTTCTCCAGCTACTTGGTCTCCTGGGCTAGTTCATGTCCCTGACTCAGCCGCCTCCCAAGCACAGCAGTTTGTGATGAGGGCTGCCCTGGGATTCTGATTGCAGTTTCCCAGGGGAGCTGGGGAAATGCATCCTGTCCAAGACATATGTGAATGGCTACAGCTGCTGGAATGCTGTCTACTTCTCTAAAAGAGACACATTAGGTTCTCGTGCATCTTCCTGAGCTGTAGCAACATGCCCAGCTTACAGGTCCATGCAAAATAGGCAAAAGACCATTGGAGTGGAGAAAGGGATGTAGTTTTCAAAGTGCTGACAACACTTTTTTTAATTTTTTGTCCTGAAGTAAAAAGTCTGCAGCAAAAGAGTAGCTGTCTTGGAAAGAAAATATTTCATTCTTTTTCTCTTTATGCAACATTTTAATATTTTTCCATGTGTTTCTGATCATCTCAGGAAGATGTATAGTTTTACCATGCTCCAGAGAAACAAAACCCTTGGTGAGCTAGAAATCAAATAGATCTCAAAGATTTCAGTAATACCAAGGGACATGAGTGGAGGCCAGTGATGCTGAAGAGAAGGCAAAACTAACATGTAGAGCCAGATACGAGCAGGTCACAGGACCACCATTCACTGAGAGCAGGACTAAGCTCTAGGTTTTGTCCAAAGGCAAAATTAATCCAGTGTTTGGCTCTGGTGTGGCTCCCAGACTGGCTCAGCCACACATGCGGAATCCCCTCACTGCTGGCAGGATGCTTTTAAGCAAGAGGGACTTTGTGGAAAGTTTTGCTCCAGGCAAAGCACAGGCACTACTCAGACACTTGTCCTTCACTCAGTTCTCCCTAGTTGAAGAAAAGAAATGCAAAATTCATAAGGAGGGTATCAGTGAGCAGCTGACTCTCACACAATGCAAAAAGCACAGGATACAGCAATACACAAGAAGCACCAGCAGCATGCACAGAGGACTTGGAAACAAGGCCATGGCTTTCACATGGCAATTCACAGCTCGGTTCAGATGCCACCCACCTGAGTTAGCACAGGTATTTTAACTCTGACAAGTTTCTGCTGCTGGTGCGAGAAAGCAGTGCCCCACACAGCTGCCATGCAGCACTGCCATTCTCCCTGCACTGCCTGATTTCTCCCACCAGACAGTGTTTCTTTTTGTCACCCTGAAGGCATGGGCACAACAGGATAGTGAACTCACGCTGTGTCCAGCACTGTCTTTCCCCTTTCAATGTGGTCTTTGTTCCCTTGGGTGGCACATCAGGTCTGCAGTGTGCATAGTCAGAGAGTTTTGGGTGCTGTGCTGTGGATACCAATAACAGGAGTTAAGTACCTAATTGCTTGATTTAGAGAGGCGGTTTGGACACCCCACTGATTTTTTCCAAACGTTTCTGGTCCTAATCTGAAGGAAGCCCATTAACTTCAGTGGGCTTTGGATGATTTCCTATATACACAAAACTTGAAGAACGATGCTTTAAAAGAAATACCAAAGTTAAATTGGCAAATTTTAATAATTCTCTTTGTATTTGAATTTAGTGGCTATATGCTGACAATATAATTAGCGAGATGCTATGTTAATTAATGCCAGATGACATTGGTGGGATGGCAAAAGCACTCAGTTTTCTAAAGAATAGTTCACAGTTGAACTGTTCCTCTCTCCCCACCCCATTTTTAGCAGAGAAACATACTCAAAATAAAATGTCAGCGACAGCTGAATTAAACCAAAAGTAAAACCATTTACAAATACCAGTAATGTGTATCTCAGCACATAGCTTTCAAGCCAAATCTAATGTTATTGCAAAAAAATACATTAACCGTGTTTCCTTAGAGCCTACATACAGAAAGGAAGGAAGATTTGAAGAGTTTCATTCAGTGGACAAATCAGCTGCCACTGAAGCTGAAGGAGCAGAACCTAGACTTGTCCTTCACATAGCTGAGCATTTGAAAGGTAATTTTCAGTTTAAGGTTTGTGCATTTCTTGGGGTCCACCAGCTATTTTGAAAAAAATTTGCTGTAACATGGAAAAATACATTCACATGCAGTGTGAGTTCATACATGCTAAACTTCACTCTATGCATGTCAAATTACTAAAGAAATTTGATAGGGCAAAAAAGTAATACCGCATGAGAACTACAGCCTTTTGAATATAAAATAGCACATCTAAAATTGCATATAGAGAGATATTTATATATGGATATAAATATTTCTGTATGTAAGTTCATCATATGCTTCCTTACATAACTCCTTTACTGTGTACCTTTTGCAGATGCTGTCTTGAGTAAAGTTAGTGAGTAAAAATTTGGGGGAGTCTGATTGTATTCTGCCGTGTCAGGTGAGAAAAATTCCTACATTTTAACATTCCTACTGCACTAGATTGGATGTAAAATCTTTTGTAGGTGGTCTTATCAACAAAAGGGCAGCATAACAAAGTTGGCAGGACTTCCTTTAAAGTCTTCGTTTTCCTGGAAGGAGAAGCCAAAAAGCTAAAAACTAAAGGTTGGTACATCCTAAATGGCAGGGATGATTGCAGTGCTGCTCCTGCATGACACATGCTCTTATAACAGATCAAAATAACATGCCTGCATGAAACAAAATGAACAGCCAATACAAACCCACACAACCGGGTCAAATGCAAACACTCTACCTGTGCAGGCTGATTCAGGCAGCGTCTGTCCTTGCACAAAGGACTGTAATGGTAGCCTAAAAGCATGTAACCACCACTAACTTTAGCATTGTGGCCTCTGGTGAAACAAACTCGAGTACCATTATGTGCTTGTGCCTGGCCAGAACTCTCCAATGATGAATATGCCTTTCTGCTGGTTGTAATGGCCATGGACCCTTGACCTTGTCTGTGTGACATACAAGTTCGCATTACTTGTATTTTTAAATTCACGGCAGGCAAACTTTTAAGTTGCACAAACCCACCTATCTTCCCATAGTCACTCTCCATTGGCTTTGCATCTGCTTTACATACAGTTAAATGCCAGGAAAAGCCACACGAAAATTAACTGTCTCAGCTTGTCTGACGATCTATGTTAGCAGAGAAAGCTTATTATTTATCTTAAGGCTGGAGCTGTATTTTACATTTCCTCTCCCCTGCTTCACAATTGCTGACAGTCAGGTGGTGAAAGCTAATCTATTATCAATGTTAAAATTTCATTGAATTTATTTTATATTGCTTGGGATTGGGCAAATTTGAATAGGGTAAAGGTGTGGCTGAAAGGATTATACCCACATTCAGGTCTAGTGCTTGATATTAATGAGGGAGCTGTGGCTGATGGTTTCTCCTGAGAGCCATCAAAGATCCATATCCATGGAGGATCCAGGAGACTGGGACTGAAATATTTTAATGAAAACATGAGGAAGCCTTTCAATTCATAAATATGCTTTAACTTAACAAAATCATTTAGCTCCAGCACACTGAAGTGCCTGGTATTTGAGGACGTTCATCTTCTTTGCCTGTGTCCGGAATTCTCTGTGAAAATTGCACTAAAGAAACAATCACTAATATAACGTTGGTATCTCATTGAACAACACTTCTGCAAAATCTAGGAGGCTTTGCATCACTTCTGCTGACTTATCAACAGCTTTCATATCAATGCATGGTATACAACTCAATATTTTTGCTCAGTTCATTTATTTCAGGTTGTTTTCAAACCACTTCATCCAAAAGCCTGAGAAGGTATTTCTAAAATTAATTAAAGCAAACAATAAGTTTGGACTTGGACATTTATAAACAAATATGTGCACAACAACAACAAATGAAGCTTTGCATCCTGCTTTTCCAGAATCCCAACAATTCATTTTGCCTTCCAACTACATGTACAATGATTGTTTGCACGTTTCATTGAGATCATCATATGGAGACACGGAGATTCAAGCTGTCATCGGGGCCTGAAGTTTCCACAGTGGAGGCTCTCTCCGGATACTCTTCTGATCCCAGCTGTGACTGTGTGGGTTTAAAGATGAACAGCTTCTCCCCATACAAAGCTCTGTAGATGAGAACAAACCATCAAAGTTGTTTGTGGAACATCAGCATTATGTGCAGGACTGGGCAAGTTTTCCTGTGACACAGTCATTTTCCCACTGCATTAGGAAGAACCACAACACTCACATAGTTTTCCTAGGGGGGGCAAAATATGAAAGTGAGATCCTGCTGTCCTAAAAGAGCTGATCAGGGCATTTACCTCAGTCACTGAACATCTGCATTCAAATCCTTTCTTTGCCTCTTTCACACCACAGACAGGAATGTGGGTTTCCCACATCCCAAGCTTGTGGTTTTACCACCAGGCTACTTGTTCTTTGAAAGCAGGTTTTTCTTTCGGGTTTTACATCTGCTCAGGCGAGATAGCCTACTTAATAAGCATACCGAATCACACAGTTTTAACTCTGATTTGTGAGATGATCTTATCTGTTGCTCTGTCAGATGTATTTTTGTGAGTATTTTTAATTGAGGCTGTTGAGAAACAATCTAGTACAGACATTTAACACAAAAAATTACCAGGTTGCTAAACTTAAGTCACTGGGAGAGGAGAAATGGGAATCGTAAGGTACTTCCCCACTTCATTTTCCCCGCATTTCATGACAATATATACCCTCCCACTGCATAGAAGTGTGCTGTAAGAATCCTTACACAGGCTCCCATAGGACTTTTGTCACCGGTTTCGGTGGCAGAAAAGACTGGTTTCAAGAACACAAGGAGAGCAGCTCGTCTGATCTTTTCCAGGCTCTGTCTGAAGCGACAGGATTTTCCACACAACAGCTCAAAGATGTGTTTGTTTTCTGCCCAAGTCATAACACCTTCCACGTGAGGGAGTAGGATTGAACAGCGGCACGGGGTCTTTGGCTTATTTACACAAATTAATCACAGGACACATTTTGTAAATTAGATGGCTTAGTCCCAAAGGGTTAATGCCTTTGCTGCTCAGATGGGTATGGCCCAGAGTCAGAGTGCCTTAGATTCACACTGGGAATGAAAGAGGCTGAAAGTTTTGTCACACGCAGTTGCGGAGAACAAAGCTCCAGCCTCTTAAATTAAAACCCTTGATCACCAGATGTGTAGGCACGACATGTTTATTTTTGACCTTCCAATTTCAAGAGGGAAAGCAAAATCGCACAAATTAATCCCTGGTGTAAGCCGGTTGCCATCAGCGCAGCTACCCTCAGAAAAACCTTCATTAGGAACAAGCTGCACTATCTGGGACCTGGCGACACTTTTCAAAAAATCTCACCTCTTTGGGTGCAGCACGGGCGTGTAAAGGACCTGCACGCTGGATCTTTGCAATTACAGTTCAATTACACTTCTGGCCTTTTAGTAAGAAAACAGGCTTCATCGTGCAATTGTTAGCATGCTTCCAAACCATCAGCTCTGTTTATTAACTTTTGTACAGAGCACCCTGGCAGCTACCAACAAAGTCTCACATTTTATGTTGAGATTAGCGAAAGGTTAACGGGCGCCTAAGCTCCACGGCGATTCAGCCAGGCCCGTTTGACATTTTTGTGACCGGCTAGGGATAAAAACGCTTTCTTATGTGCACCGAGCCAGCTTCCCCCGCGCTCCCCGGCCGAGCAGCCGACGTCTCCCCCTCAGGGCGAAGCCGTGCCGGGGCGTCTAAGGCTCCTTTCAGCCTCTTTCTGCCCGCCGGTGGCGGCGTGTGGGGGCGGCGAGGAGACCCCCTGCGGGCAGCGCCGCAGCAGAACCACCCTCCCCCGCCCCGCCGCCCTCCCTCCCCTTCCCTCATCGCGGCCGCGGCGAGGGGCGGGCCCGGGGAGCGCGGAGCGCATCGATCGCCGCCCTCCCTCCCTGCCTCCATCCGGCCGCCCGCCCGCTCGGCGCTCGGCTCCCTCAGCAGCCCCGGCCCTCCCCGTCCCCCGCCATTTCGCACCGGGACGGGCAGCGAGGCGCAGCGCCCGCCGCGCCGGGGCGGCCTCCGAGGCAGGCAGGCAGGCACGAAGACAGGCACGGAGACGCCGGCGTCGCCCCGCGGCTCGGCTCGGCGCAGCGCAGCGCCACGCAGGTAGCCGCCCTCCTCCCGCACCCCTCGCTCGCTCTCCCTCCCTCCCTCCCTCGTCCCCTCCGAAGGGGAAGCGGCTGCCTGCAGCCGGGCGCCCCTCGCCTCGCCTCGCCTCGCCTCGCCTCGCCGCCCCGTACCGGGGGCAGCGGCCGCGCTGCTGGCTGCCCTCAGCCGGAGCCGTCGCCGGCGGCAGGGGGCGGCGGGACAGGTGGCCAACGCCCTCCGGGAGCCCGGCGCCCTTGTGCTGAGTCAACCCTTCCCTCCCTCGCCCCCCTTCTCCCCTTCTTTCTATTCAATGTAAAGCCCGGCCGCCGGCCGGCACGGAAAGTTTGGCCGGGGCGGCCGCGGCCCCGGCCGGGCGCTGAGGGGAGCCGGGGCGGGGCGGGCGCGGGGCCGGGCCCCGGGAGGTGCGGGGCCGGGGCCGGGGCCAGGAGGGGCCGGGGAAGGGTCGCGACCCTGGGGCTCTTCCTCGGCTCGGGGGGGCAGTCCCGGCCCCGGGGAAAGCCGGGCGGCCTCCCGGGAACTTGGGGAGCAGGCAGTGGGGAGGGTCTGCCCTGCTCTGTCCTGTTCGCGGGGTGCTGCCTGCATTGGTGCGTTCCGGCCCCTTGAGTTTCAGCCTCTTCGCGGTCGGTGCACGCAGCCCCGCGCCGCGCTCCAGAGGTGTGATTTTGGCTGGGAAATGGCTTTTTTTTTTTTTTTTTTTTTTTTTTTTCCCTCGTTCCTTTTTGTCCTGCCTTTCCGGGAGGGGATCGCTTTCCGGTGCTAGTAGAGGAACGCGGCAGTGAATGAAAACGCGCTGACAGCATCCTTGTTAGTTGGAGCCTGACTCTCTCCTGCTTAACGTTGGTTTCTTTGTCATCAGGTCTGCTAAAAAATGACAGAATATAAGCTTGTTGTCGTTGGAGCTGGTGGTGTAGGCAAGAGTGCCTTGACAATACAGCTAATTCAGAATCACTTTGTGGATGAATATGACCCTACAATAGAGGTAAACAACTTCATCTTGTGCTTCTTGTGATGAGGGATTATCAGCGGTAATGGTAGTTGCTTGCATTTGGATGCTTACCACAAAAAAAACAAACATCATAGAGCAAGACTTTGTATTAAAAGGGCTCAAAAGTAAAGGTCTGCAGCACACCAGTACGAGCAAATCACTGTAATTCTTGGTCTGACTGTGAGACGACAGATAGAGTTAAAACAATCACAATTTTGATCAACTAAAGTATGGCATTAGTTGCCATGTTTTGTTGGACAGCTTGAATGCAAGTTTTTAGGATCTTAGTAAGAAAGTATTCCCCAAAGTCATTTGAAAATGCCTCCTAAAACTTTGGCTTTGCATCCGTCTCTTAACATCAAAAAGGAAAGTCATGTGTAAGAAGCAATTTTACTTCTGACATGCACATGTCAAGCTTTCTCAGCTCTTATCATTGTGATCTGTTTCACATGGTGAACGATGTATTCTGGGATGCTATGCTGAATGAGGCAAAAATTTGGAACCCTATTTCTTTTTTTTTTTTTTAACAGGTCAACGTGTGTTTCTGTGTGTCTAGAAAAAGGTGTAAAGTAGCTGCTATAGTGAATTCTTTGGAATACGTGGCGTAGGCCTTCAAAATCTAAAATTATATCTAAGCTTTAAAAGTTACAGTATTTTAAAGGTTTTTAATGAGCAGGCAAGCCTTGGCTTATAAATATAAGAAAAATACTTGTGTTGTCTGAAATCTCCTGTGGATCATTGGATTTAATAACCTCAGACTGTATAAAAAGAGAAATGACACTATAATTTACCCAAGATTTTTATGTTCCCAGCACTGAAGCTCTTTAGCTTATGACTTCATTTGTATGTTTATACAACGGAGCACTTCCAAGCTCACTTCAAGGAATCACAAAGGTTTAAATCTGGGCTTAAAATGATGACTTGGAAAATGGCTATGTAGTCATTTTCAGGTGGATGTGAGTGAAAGGAGCCAGTGCCCTGAGATGGCAGGAGGCTGTCTTTAGTGATGTACAGACCTGAGGTAATATTCCCCAAAGAATGATGTGTTGGCTCAAGTTTAGGATTCTCTTAATGTTCACGTGTGTTTTGTCTGTCTGCTAAATGGCCGAGTAACCTCATGTATGCTTGTTGAAGACTGTGGAAAGGAGAAAGGAAGAATGACTAGCACTAGGAAGGCAGCCCTTCCAATTATGAAGATGTGAAAGCTGAAAACAAAAACAATGACAACTCAAAACATGCTTAAAAAACAGGGTACACACATCTCCTTGAGAGGAACAGGCAAAATGGGCTTGCAGAAGGAACTTGTTGGTGTTTGTAATACATGCTCGTAATCATCTGGGCTTCCTAGGTTAGAAGTGTATTTAAACACCACAAAAAGTACCGTGGAGGTTCTGTAATAGAAAATGTCATATAAGGACAGACCTGTGTAAACAGTTTAGGAACACAAAAACTTAAATGTCAGTATCCCTAAATCACTTGATGGATTTTTGCTAATCAACAAGCTGAGTATTTTGAGACATGCCAAATAATTTTTATTGTAAGACAATACAATTAAAACACAGCAAAAGACAGCCCTTGTAGAAAGGACATAAAATCTGAGAACAGTGGTTCTTGCTTAGTAATGGGCAGGATGACTGTAATGCTGTGGTCCATAATCAATATCTTCTGAAAGAAAGAAACAGCTTAATGTATGTTACCTGTGTCAACAACCTGTTGCATGCAACGGTGTTGGTCTTCTGTAACTCCTACAGGTTGTCTGAGCGCTAGTTACCATTTTTGTCTTGTAAATCCTGAGACCTTGAAAGTGGAGACTGGATGTTCCTACTCACGTGGTAAATCACCTGGTTTGCTTACAGCACTGTAGAATAATCACATAGTTAAGCTTCTAGGGAAGAAACAGTACTGTTGTAACAGGGGTGGTCTGTCATTCGGGGTGACAAATGGGTTCCAGCGAATGGGCTTGTAATGGGGTATAAATGCTTCAGTCCTCACCAGGGCAGAATCCCATTCTGTTGAGAGGGGTTGTCAGGTTGTGCTTCCCGTACAGATGCAGTTGTGGTGATAGGGGTTGATTAAAGAACAATAGCCATAGAGGCTGTCTTTTCATGCAGTATAAGGAAACAAGGCTAAAGTTGTTTTGACAAGTAACTAATAAGGTGATTTGGTAGTGTCACAACTATTATTTTTCACTTACTACTGTTCCTTTTATTGGCGTGTAGCTGTTACCAAAATACTAACTTTTCCTTCCAGGCAAATAATCAAGCTAAGTAAGTATTTTGGAGAAAACAGAGAAAAGAGCTGTGTTTGTTATATACAGCTGACTCTTTACCTGTGTGGTTATATAGTGATTTTAAATTTTTCATGATTAACAAGGTGAAATTCAACACTTCCAAAATTCCTGTATTGCTAAGACAGTGCAGCTGAAGAGGAGAGAAAAAAAAAATGGTTACTTAACCACTGATATATTCTGTAATATTGTTGCTCTTTTCAGTGGATTAGAATGAGTGAATCAATAACTGAAGCTTGGGAAGCTTCAAATCTCATGACCTGTTTGGGTATAAATATAGAATTTAGATTCTATAGATTTCTGTCTGACCAGGTGATGAGGGGGGAAAGAATTAAAAATGAGTGCATATTTGATTGGCTACCATTTCTCAGAAATGCATGCTTTATATGTTTATCGCAATTTCATATCACTTGAAATGGATGTCCAAACACATGTTTATAGCCAAACAATTTCAAGTGTTTTTTTCTAAGACTGTGTCTGCTATCCCTTGGAAATCTGGCCTAACACGCAGAGCAGTTGGACTAATGCCCTCTACTGGTCGAGATTTGTTAAGACTTTAATTGCAGTATCTTGTTGATGACTTTTTAAAATTTTTTTCAATAGTTATTTTCACTGCAGCAGCATATTTAGTACTAACCTGTGGGTCATATTTTAAATGTCTTAGAGAAAGAACAGCCTTCCTAGTTGGCTGACAAGGGCTTTTTTTTTTTTTTTTTTAAATCGGATTAGCAAAATCCCTTGAGTGATTTAGAAATACTGATATTTAAGTCTGTATGTTCTATGTTCTTAAATAACCTGCGCACCTGTGAAACTTCCACCAACATTTAGTAATAGCTTAGTCTTAGTAGCTGTGATATTCTAATATTAAATCATTGATATAGTGGATTCTTAAAACAAGTTATTCTCAGAGATGGGATTTATTAAGCAGTAGATTTTTTCAGATAAATTCCATATGTAGTGCATAGCTGAGACCTCCTATCATATTTTGCTATCAGTGCTAGTTGTGAACAGATGGAATTATTGCTCCTTTTGCATAATTTGTGTGATTTTTATGGCTTGAAAGGCCAACAACAGCAGGCTATGTGATTAATTAAATTAAAACTTTTTGATGTAGGTAGTGTCTGCATACTGGGAAAAATGGCAAATTCATATTTGGGGTCATGTACTACTCTGAGATTCATTTCTAGTTTGCATTTTGGTTTTACTTGATAGTCTTAAATTAGGTGTTTCTTTATTGCAATATCTTCCAGTGTGTAGTGAAGCTACAGAGTTTTTAAAAATTCACAAGAAGGGGTCTTTCATTGTTAAAGGGGAATCTGGCCGTGCTGGGTTCTGCTATTGCATTTTGAAGTAAGAGTATTACAAGTACCATAGTGGCATAACTGACGCTGAGCTTTTCAGTACGTACTGTGTTCGTTTTTTGCTGGACTTGATAACTTTCACAGCATGGTAACATTTAAATTTTATCTGTAATATGTGTAGGCTGGTGTTCACTGCAGTGATGTTGGGGTCTCAGTAACCTGAGCTATTAACGTGGTGGTTCAGTTTTCTTCCCTACAAATGTGATTCAATGTTTGGCTTCTTGGCAGAGAGGAAACCAAAAACTACCGAAAAAGCAAAACGTGTATTTTTTTCAGTAACTAAGAAAATCTCAAACTTGAGTCCTCTCTCCCGCATCCTTTGTCTTTTCCTTTCATCTCAGGTCTTTCTAGTTAGTGACAAACTTTTCCTTCCAGAACTGAGCAAAACGA